CCCTTTCTCAAAGAGACCCTGCCCTCGCACCATCCCTCCCCCCAGAGCCACTGTTCTCACAACACCACTTCTCCCAGAGCCCCCGCCCTCGTGCCGCCCCTTCTCTCAGAGTCCCCGCACTCGCATCACCCCTTCCCCTGGACTCCCCTCCCTCGCACCGCTCCTTCTCCCCAAGCCCCTGCCCTTGTGCCACCCCTTTCCCTTGAACCCACTCTCTCACGCCGCCTCTGCCCCCTCTCCCCATCACTCATCCTTACAGCCGGTAAAAAGTGGCCAGCCTATTCCGCCATCCATGGTGGGATCCGGCTGCTGTGGCTGCAGGGAAGGGACCAATCAGAGATTTATGTGAGTTGTGACCTCGGCTCACAAAAATTCCGGACATTGCCTCTTATTTGACAAATCTGCCAGGACAGAGGGCGGAGGATCAAAAAAGAGGAAATATCCGGGAAAACCTGGACGTACGTTCACCCTATCGCTAGGTAAGGAGAAACCTCTGTCTGTGCTCCAGATTCTGGGGAAGGGGGGTTGTCAGGAGAGTAGTAGGCCACACCCTTATATTATTTTGATATTTTATGCGCCTTCAGTCACAGTGTGTCAACTACAAAAGGCCTGTGGACAGCCTATGTCTCTAGCAAGGGGCCTCGTGTGCCTGTGGTTAGGAATATAGGTTGTAGGGTGGCTGGGCCATTGCAAAGTAGCCCAGAACCACTCAACTCCCCAACCCTCTTCTTCAAATCTTCACTTGGATCTTGCCCTCTTCCACTTCAGCTCTGCCTTTTGATTTCCCCCAGGCCCTCTGCTCCAGGGCTTTAGTCTGTTTTCAGTCACTTCTCAGAAAATAATCCTTTAGGGCCCCTTGACTGTGTGGATAAACAAAAGTCAGAAACAACAGCAAAGAAAGTAATTGTTGCTTTACTGCTACAAAATATCTCCAAGCGTGTAATCCCTCGATGTTTGTATTAATCTGGTGTAGTCCACTGAATGGGGGAAATGATGCCCCATAGCGGGGAAAGTGTCGCTGTATGACAAACGCTTGCCCATGACAACTAACAATGAATGGTGACCTACAAAACTTTTCCTCGGTTATCAATATTCCCCGGAAATCCAGGCCAGCTCCTATCCCTGTCTTGTTTTGCACATTAAACTTTTAAAAGTTTGTTTTTTAAACTTTATTTGATAGGATGAAAAGGTGTCTGTTTAGCAAAGGCGCTTGAAAAGATAAACTGAAAAATTAAAGCAGGAAAGGGGCAGTGGTGGTGGGTCTGGGGCTCTTGTGTCAGATAACCCAGGCAGAGGTTCAAGTCTTTCCTCTGAACCTCAAGTAGTCACAAAGCTGTGGCTTTTGTCTTTTAAGAATTTTTTTATTGGAAAATCGATCAGTTCTAGGTTTTATACTGTACCCTCCATTTTAAATCTTTCTTTACAATTTACAAGTGATAAGTCCTTAGAGCAGTTTTTGTTCCCTTGTTTTGTTTTTGTTTTATATTCTGGTCAATTCATTTAGGCAAAACTTTAAGAAGCAAACTAACATTATTCTTTAACGAGTTTCTTTAAACATTTAGAAAGCTATGACGGGCCTTTTGCTGCTTTTTAAAATTGTAAACCCCTTCTTTACATGAGGGTTTTGTATAATATTGCTGTTCCACAGGAACTTACTTCTTCGCAATTTACAGTCCTGAAAACTATTTTTACAGCGTTTTTCTTACTATGCAAGTCATTTAGACAAAACATGACTACAATCTTTATTTAAGTTGTGTCGCAGGGATGCTAATTATTTAGTTGTGGAAATGAAATGCACTTATCTATTTCCTGCTCTTGGCATCTCTTAGGCCGTAAAAACATGCTTACATTATTTTAAAAATTGAGGATAGTCTAGCTTTTAATCACTTTAGTTCAGTTCTGATTTTACTTAATTTTAATCCTGTGATTAAAAATTCTTTTGTTGCAAAAGTCAAGTTTTTTGTAAAGAGGGAGTGGATGTGTGGGAAATGTTTATTCAGATAACAAGGGTAAAGGGGGGCAATTTTTACCTCCCTCCTTCATGCAGTTACAAAAGTATGACTTTGAGATGTTATTGACATAAACTGTGACCGTATAGATCATTGTTGCAACCACTGTTATATATTTGCGGCAAATATTGTACAGAGGTTGTTGTGTGAGGTGTCTATGAAGAGGTTATTATTTCCTGGTGATGTTATGCTATCTGTATGTGTGTACCATTTTTGTAGTTGAAGTTATGAACATTGGCTACGTAATTGTATCTCAATGTGTTTGATTCTAAATAGCATTAGTGAAGCATTTGTTCAGCTTCTTGAGAAAGGAATTTGCAAATTAAGTGCCCAATCAAGAAACACTTAACTGACACTGGACCTTGGGAGACTCCAATCCATATAAGAAGTCTTCCTGGGAACGTTCAAGGTAGCATGTGAGCAATGGTTGCCATCTATAAAGAACAGAGTCATGCAGGGACATGTGACTTGCCCATGTGACTCCAAACTCCATCTTGCTGCTGTGATTTCCCACAGTAAGTAGAAAGGGGTGTCCTTCCACAGGGCAGAGGATATAAAATGCCCTGGAAACCCCTCCATTTTGTCTTCAATCCTGCTTCTTCCTTCTGGAGGAAGCTTGCTACAAACTGAAGCTCTGAACAAAGGACTGGATGACCCATCCCAGCTGGGGATGTTCCAGAGACTTGATTTAAGCCTGCAGTTTATTCCATCACTGCTACAAGCCTGAACC